TTCGGCGATCTCCTTCATCTTAGTGAGCACCATGGAAGAGATCTCCTCCGGGAAGAAGGTCTTGATCTCTCCCTTGTACTCCACCTGCACTTTGGGCTTCCCTCCCTCGCTCACCACCCGGAACGGCCAGTGCTTCATGTCCGACTGCACTGTAGCGTCCTCGAACTTCCGTCCGATCAGCCTCTTGGCGTCGAAGATGGTGTTGGTGGGGTTCATGGCCACCTGGTTCTTGGCGGCGTCACCGATGAGGCGCTCGGTGTCAGTGAAGGCAACGTAGCTGGGGGTGGTGCGGTTGCCCTGGTCGTTGGCAATGATCTCCACCTTGCCGTGCTGGAAGACCCCCACGCACGAGTAGGTGGTGCCCAGGTCGATGCCGATAGCCGGGCCGCGGGCAGACATCCTGACTGAAAAATAGGCAAGCGACGTTAGGCGAGAATATCAGGGACAGAAATTCCGCGGCGTCAACTAACGGTCGCCTCGCACCGGACACCGCGAGTGCAACCACTTCTCCCTCTCCCCCCGCTCGGCTCCCCGCTCTTATAGCCGCCTCCCTGCCGCCTTGTGGAAACTCCCAGAGCCAATCCGCTCCCAGAACCGCCCGCCAAGGCTTGCCTGGGTCGGAGTGACCCGCCCGTGGCCCAACAGATTTCAAGTTAAGTGAGGGGCGGGACCCTATCCCGCGCGAGGAGGCGAGGGGCGGCCGTTATGCAAATAATGCCCCTCCCTCGTCTCCCTGCGGCAGGTGTTCGCGGCACCTCACGCGCCTCCTGCAGCTTGGGGGCGTTAGGCTCGCGCACCTCCTCGTCATCCCCGCCAGGTAAACGCGGTTTTTCGAGATCTTTGCCTTCCATAAGGCGGGATTTATCGACATCCATCGGATTGACAGGTCAGGTGACCAATGAGCAGTGCGAACTCCCAAGTAGGGTGGGGAAGGAAAGTCTGGGGCGTGGCGCGATGAGGAGAGCGGAAGGGGAGCGGGAGACCCGAGCCACCTCGGCGGTTCCCTCTGTTCCTAGTCCTTAAATGCAGTTCAGTGCTAACTGTACCGACTAATGTAGCACGCAGGGGCAGGGCAATTTATTGATTTGGCCGCACCGAGGAAACAGGGCCAGAGCCTGCTTTTTTAATGTTGGCATGGCCTCGGCATGAGGGTTTCCCCCCAGGCGGGGACGAAAAGAAATGACACTGAAGTTACTGGTACTGGCTGTCGGCCTCCTGGAATTTTTCTTTGCGTACTTCGCAGCGTCTCAGTGTGTGGGAGCGCTCGAGATAAACTGCCTGGCAGGCGAGGACAATAGGAACCCAGGAGAGCGTCTGGAGAGGCCGACTTCTTTGACGCGCCACGTGCAGGCCTGCGGCGTGGGAGACACGAGTGCCTGCAACTCTTCTTCCCATTTTTCCTGCTTGTCCTTACACTTTAAGCGTCCTTATTTCGTCTCTTCTTATTTCTGGTTTCAAATGCTTTATCCGCCGCTTTGAGTTCATCACAGGAAGATGTATAATTAAAACCCTCACGTTGAAGCACCGTAAAATAATCCAGTCTCACGCCCAGCCCTATTCTCTCAACCCCAACATACACACATGCGATCGTGTTTATGACAGAGTCATGTTTATGACAGCTTAACCGAATGAGATTATTTTCTTTAGCTATGCCGAAGTTACATTACAGGCATAACCCTCAGAGAAGGTAAGTGGAAAGGAGCGCAATTCATTTTATGATATGAGAATAAGTTTGAAAGTACTGGCGCCAGGTGATGAGATAGAAGCAGACTCCTATAAAAGGGCTCTTGAAAGAGAACAACAAAATTGCTGGGCTAATAGTTTACATATGGAAGAAGCTGTAGACATTCATTCAACAAATTTTAACAGGTACCTACTATGTGAGAGTAAAAAGACAAATGAGATTGTCTTTATGAGGTTGAGAGTCTAATAAAGAAGTAAACATAATTGAGAGAAGTGCTATGGGAACACAAAGGAGGGGCACATCCAGAGAGGGAAAAAGTATGTTGATAGAGCTTCCTGAAAGAGATGACATGCCTGAGCCAGGCGCTGAAGTTTGCCAGCAAAGAGAGGAGGAAAGGCGTTCTTTGTATAGGTTTGTAGTAGCATGTGGAAAGAGGAAAGTAGTGTGTGCTGGGGCAACTACGTGTTCTGTATAGATTAGTGTCACTACAAGGGGAGGGATACAAGCAAGAAATACGTCTTCAGGTGAACAGGATACATTTAAGAGCTTTATGTGCCATGATTTTTTTTTTCCTGAGAGAGAGGAACCATCCTTTGGTGGAGACTAGTAATGTATAGCCCATATCAAAGTTGTATGAGACAGTGCTGGAGAAAAGTTTTTGTCTGAGAAACACTTAAGCAATCTGTGACCAATAAGTAATGTTGACAGAACTCTACAAAGTCAATCAATGAACATTTAAGTTTCTTTTATCTAATTGTGTGTGTAATTTTCAGTCTTTAAAAACACACTTGCTACTAATCTGCTAATCTCATTAGTTAAATAGTACTGGCTTTATCTACATTCCCATCTCCTTTACTATGAAAGAAAGGTAAAGGAAAAAATCGAACTAGGAAATCTTTTAAAGAAAATATTAGGAAAACAGAGAAAACCGAAAGGTTTCTATTAAACGTGTCTTAAATTGTAAGTACATATCTCTTGATTTTATTCTTGCAAATTGTTGGGTTTTATATAGTAAAAAAAAGAATGAGAAAGAGAGAGAATTAGTGGGCTGGAGAGCAATCTACATTCTTTGTTTAAATGATAATACAATGTGATTTAGAGACAGGGTCCCAGCTGCCATTGAAAGCAGAAAGAGCTGTAAGAAACAAAAAATCGTCAGATCACTTGTATTCACTCAGCCCTCACACACTTAACTTCAAGCAAAGCAAAATAGCAAAAAAGCAAACATGACAGTTCTTACACACACATACTAAAACTAGAGCTTCAGAAGAGAGTTCTTAGTAACTATGTACTATCCCTATGCACAATTACAAACAAATCTTGCAATCTAACCACCACAATCATCTTTAACACAGCTTTTCGAAAAAATAATAGCAATTTACTTGCATTTTCTTCAGCTATATATATTTTTTCTATTCTAACTTTTCACCTAGTAAATTAATGTTTTATGTTTCATACTTTAGATGGCATCCTGAGCTTTTCCCAAAAAGACACAATATTTGCATTTTGATTTTATATAAAGTAAACTTTTGCAGTTCTAGAACATTATAGTACACTGAGCATTCTTGGAATTTTTACATTGTTCCTTATTTGTGTTGATTTTTTAAAATATTTTGTTCTTTTATCTGATTATTGTGGCTCAAACTTTATTAAAAACATACAAAATACAAAAACAAAAAACATACCCCATTAAAAATGATCAAATTACCATATTTATAAGTAAATAATATTCGTCAATGCCAGCAATGGTGCAGCAAAACAGGTCAACTCTATTGGTGGGCAATGTGACAGTATTTTTTCTTTACCTTAAATAAGATCATACCCTTCATTTAGCATTACCCTGTGGGATTCATCCTAAGGAAATAATAGAACATTCAGGTAGTATTATTTATGATAACAGCAACATTAAAAAGATGACTTAAATAATTGACAATAAGAAAATGATTGCATCGATTATAGTACATCTGTATGATGATTATGTAGCCATAAAAATTGTTCATAGGAATTTTAATAATACAGAAAAGTTTTTGATATAGTTAAGTAGAAAAGTAAGATAGAAGACTTTGTATCTTCTTATCCTAATGTAGGATAATGTTATGTGTATGAAAAATGCATCAAAATTAGTTATCTCTAGATGGTAGGATTATCAGCAATTTTTTCTAAATTTCTTCTTTATACTTTTACAATTGATTTTTAAAACTTGTTAACATTCATGTGAAACTAAGTTCACTAATTCTACTGACATAGAAATTACTACTGATTTCAACAAGTGAAATCTGTTGGGCAGATTACAAATGCTAGGTGTTTCAAAATATTTTTAAAATCCAAAGACTGAAGTTCCACCCTGTCTGGAAAACACAACAGCTTTAATATATGCCAAATCTTTTCTAATCAATCCCCAACATCTGGAAGAGTACCTGGAACATAATAGTGATTCACTAGCTCAGTGTTTATTAAAAGTGACCTGATGCACATTATTTAACCAAAAACTGGAATCACTTTATTTTCTTCCTGTAGAAGAGGAAGAGTCTCTGCCTACATATTACATTTCTGTACTAAATTATACTACAAAGATCAAAAGTTGAAACAACTTCTCACCTGAAAATATTAGTACTAGAGATACAAAGATGAATAAAATAAGGTCTAAAACTATGTGTATGGGTACTCAGGCCTCCCCTAAGGAGACTGAGAAAGAATAAATTTTTCCAGAATTACCAGGGAAAAAAAATTTATGAATTTTCTGGAACCCTCTCAATCCCTACCCAGGCAGAACTTCATAAAGTTTGTGGATTGTTTTGAGGAGGCGATATTGGCCTGAAGAGGTGGGGCAAGTAGCAGCCTATAATTTGAGGACTTACGCACAAACTAAAGTCAAACTAATTATTATACTTAAGATCTCTGTAAATAGTGCCATTTTATAATTCTTTGGAAGTACTCTGTCTCAAAATATTTCTCCAATCACTTGTCACTGTAGGAAATTTTTCGCCATTTGTTTCTTTGAGTCTTGGAAAACTGTCTTTAAAAATTATAATTAAATTGTAGATACACAGTCGCCTGGAGTAGGACACTACCATGTCTGGCATGGAAGACTATGAGACCCAAATCTGTAATAGAGGCTTTTTCAGAAGAAAAGTAAATCTGTGACAATAGCAGACAAATTGAGCCTACTTCAGTTTTGTAGAGTGCTAACTAGGAGGACAGACTCTTGGGGAGTAGTCTGAAATAACCTGAAAGAAGTGAGGCTGTTGTCTTATACATGGAGAATCAGATTCAATTTGTGCCATTATTGTTGACACTTATTAAGTAAAATTAAATTAAGTGAAATGATGGCAATCATCGTTCAAGACTGACCTAAAATGTATACTCATAACTGATCACTTGAAAAAAATTATTAAATTCTTAAACTGAAAATAAAATGAATTTTACTGGTTAGGAACTTATTTCTATGAATAAATTATGTGTGTTATTTTGAGAAATGAATTAACCCTCTGAAAGAGAGTTAATTAACCCTCAATATTATGTCAGTGGATTTTATAAATAATTATTTCTTTTTGTATTATAAAGAAACCTAAATAATTTATTGCTGTATGTGTTTGCCATGAAATAGTACTTTTCTAAACATCCTATATTGAAAGAAAACAGGATTTAGCAATAATAATTTTAGTTCATTCTCTTTGTGTACTTCTGAAGATGCTCAGGAACACCATAATTAGCTATACCAGATACTTTATTATTTTGGTATTAGAGAATGGAAGGAGTTGATAACTTTTCAGGCAAATAGTTTTTTTAAAGATCCAGTTTAAAAAAATACAGTACAAATAAAAGTAATATAGAGACAGTTTAACTTCTGAACATGGAGGAGGAAGTTTTATTAGGTAAAAGCAATGGATTTAAAAATGTAACAAAAATTCTCTATGTAACCCAATAACTCCATTTTATACTAATATACAGAAAATAATCACATTATAGAATGCATTTATATCATTTATTATTTTAATTCATTACATTTTATTTTAGTACAGTCAAAATTTAAGCCATATTTATTTTGTGAATCAAATTCCAGCAGCCAATTAAAAATTATTTGTTAAGTCTCTACTATATTGATCTGGTACCTTTAATTATTAAAACTATTTATCTTTTCTGTTTCCTATTAGAATTCTGCAGTTCTATTTGCTTCCTCATGTTCCCAAAAGATATTAACTAGATTTTTAAAGAAACAAACACTCTCCTAAACTTATTTTTTAAAGCAGTTGAATTCATATGAATTTGAAGTCTTTAGTGGATTTCTCATCTCCCTTCTTGCCCCTGTTCCTACTATCCCACTGCAATTAACTTTTCTGATTTTTGTTAATCTAATTACTATAATGAATATTCGAGTTATCATTCTACTTTATAGCTAGAGATTTTAAATTACTTAACTTCTACATATACTATTATGTATACTCTAAGTTAGGTCTCTTTATTAAAGTTACCTAACTCTAAGTTAGGTAACTCCTTATTAAAATATTTGAATAGGCATAAAAACATAAGCATTTCTGAAGATATATAACATCTTGATATTGCACAAGAAACAAAAGTAACAATAACAATAATAATAATGGGTATACAGTTAACCAAAAGCAAAACTACAAGTACTCACAGTAAGGAAATAATATGGCTGTAAGATTCATGTGGCTAAGAAATGTGTGTATGAGTATATATAAAAAACAAAGTATTTGTAGCCAGGTTAAAATTTCACCAAACATTTTACTTCCTCACGAAAGTTTTTAAAACACCTTAAACTTTTGAGCCACTCAATACATAGTTAAATTTTATCTTGAAATTTGAAAACTGAGAAACATGGTGCTATACATTAATATCAAGAATAAATGTTTAACAGAAACTCATTCTCTCTTATTAGCTTATATTACTAAGTTTAGAAAAAAATAATGTGTCTTAAGATACATTCTTTTTGGTTATCTGTGATTTGTGAAAATCTACCAATATTGAAGTAATAGCATTTCTGGTTTTCCTTCAAGTTAACAGATTAAAAAGGGAGCTTCATCAATATTAATAACCAAATAATCAAGTTTGTAACATATATACAGTGAAAAAGAAGGGCAAATGTTACATTAACAGTAATAACTAGATTATCTTATTAAAATATTGGTCTTACTTTTTTCTCTGTACCCACATCTTTTATTTATACTCTGCAGATTTTGGGGTGTAATTTTAAAAAAAAATTTTTTTAATTCAGATTATTTTAAATTTAGAATTATATGTGTTTACATAGATACATGATTGTCTCTATTTATAATATATTTATAGTAGCCTAGCAAGCCCTTTTATTTTAGAAGGGGCCCTTGAAGATAATTAGCATATAAAGTTTCATTTTAATGTAGCTTTGACCACTGATTTCCCACAAATACTAGAAGAGTCACCATGAATCAATTTTGTCACAACAAAGTGATTTCAAAGTGATCTTTACTGAGTTTTCTTGGATCCTTGCAACTGGAACTTTTGGGCTTGATGAGGTTTGTCAGGAAGACAGAAAAGATGGTGTCACTTCAGATCTGATATTCCTGGGTCTGGACTTAAAGATTATCTGTTGAAGATTGATTCTTCCCCATGTCCTCTCCAAATTCAGATCTCACTTCTCCAGAGGTTTAGAAGGCCCTATTTCACCACTGCCACACAGAAAAAGACAAAACTCAAGAAAAATAATATTACAAGTTGACTGTTCTACAAGACACAACATAATTCTTAGGCCAGAATTTCATGGCTTTTGGCATCAGGCCAGTACAGTGTTAATAGAACAAAGAATGGAAACAAAAGCTTAGTTCCTAGAACTTAAATTTATTTAATTTATTCCCCAATGTAACTCATACCCTTCAAATACAAGGTGTTATTATTACTAATATAATTCTTCAACTATAGGGGCACTTTTTTCTTGCATAATCTAAGCAAGAAAGAATGTGTAGGGTACATAAATATGTAACATAAAAAAGATAGGTGGTCAGCCAGGTAGGCAAAAATAGGCAGTAAGCAGTTAAGAAGTGTTTTCCTTCAAATAAAATAATTTTATAATGTACTTTAAATTATTAATGGCAAATCTGGTTGAAACATAAATCTAACAAATTTAAAAGTTCATGTTCTTTTACTGAGTGCTTTCAGCCATCAAGCTAACACTGTTTTCTTCAAATATTAAGTGTTGTATACACTCTGCAAATGAAAATAAAGTGTACACACACACACACACACACACACACACACACACACACCTCTCCTCAGAGAGGGAGTTCTTCACATATCACTATA